TTATGAATTTTTCCATATATGTTAAACATTTTCTATGTAGACATTGATTACTAAATTACTTATTAATTTATTTACTTTTTGTAATTGGGGAAAAAAGGAAGACAAAGCTCAGTTCGTTTGAGGCAAAATCATGAGAGAATTTAAGGCTGAAATAGCAAGGTTTCCTTAATCATCTAACAACTCATTAAGGATGCATGGCATTCCAATCACTGCACTAAGTACAGCCTAATTATTTGAAGGTTGTGATTAAAGTATTAAAATATGTTGTACTGTCTTTGTAGGTCTAAATTTTGCACTTACCTGTATGTTTGGAACCCTTGGCAAAATTGCAGAGGTTGTAATTTTAAATAAAAAATATGAATACAAATCAACTTTATGATGTAGTTAGTGTATAGGTATGGATCAAGAAATTAAAGTTATATAACTTTATATATATATATTTATACACACACATATTGAGATTGCATTAGGATGATGAAAACAAAAGTAGGTAAACAAAGACAGATCCACACTAACATGGTTTTTGAGAGATGTGGGCAGAAAGTGGCTTTTGTGGTCCAGACTTGCTAGTTTTACAGGGGATCACCTACCCTCCAGACAGTTTCAACATGCAAATTCCCAAGTATTAGCTTTCAGGGAAATATTGAACAGAGAAGATGGGTTTTGGAGGGACAAAAAAATAAGAGCCCCAATCCCTCATAGATTTATCTATATGGAAATAAATATCCATGAATTAAAAATTATTTGAAATAGTTCAGGCTCTTACTAATTTACAGGGGGATACGACATAGTTTCAATAGCCTGGTGAATTTAGAGAATGTATACATATTAATCTAGTTTTGGTAAATAATAAATAACAATCACTTTCACTTGGGGATATCTTGTAGTCTTAATTTGAGTTGTATTTTTTTAAATTTCCTTATTAGGGGAAGCAGGTTGTGAAATGATAAGACAGAGCATATTCTTGTTAATTGGAAACTGGGAAGCAACAAAGTGAGGGGAACATCACCTGGCTTTACACATCGATGACTGTAAAGCCAGGCCTCTTCACAGTATCATGAAAATAACGTTTTGGCAGTAGGACAAAAGGTTGTTACACTTTACTGTCCATTGTGGTTAGGTACACAAGGCGGTATGAACATTTGATGGCATATTTGTGTTTTGAAATACGACAGCCTTTTTTTAATGTCCCAATAAATATGAAATCCTCTGGAAATAGTCCTGTCCAGTTAGGAGTCATCTAAACGTCCTCGTTTATAGTGTGCAATAGATTTTATTGAAGCCATGTGAGTTTGTTCTTAGCAGATTACCTGATGGCCCCACATCAGTCATCAAGTGGATGAAGTTGTCTGGTGAACATGAGGTAGACAAACTCATAACGTCTGTCAGAATTTAGGGACAGTAGGCAGTGTTTCATGCTGTTTGAAGGACAGCCGACTTCGATTTTGCATGTTTCCTACCTTTCTCCTTTGCCAACAACCAAAGAACTCCTCTCAAAACTTGTGTCTTCTCCAAGAAGAAGAGGAATGTTAAAGAACCTTGTTCGTCCTGAATAGCAGCAACAGAATCCAGCAATGGGTCTCTTATGCACAACTTGTACCATGTGTGGTGGCATCATATCACTTTCAAAGGTGCCATGAACTATTATTAGGTTTCAAAATGAGTGCCTTCCAATTGAGGAGTTTGTATTTGTCTAGCATTCTGGCCCTTTATATCATGATTCAATATATCTCCCCCCTTTCTCTTTGTCTTCTAATTCTTCCATCCTTTCCCTCTTCTTCTTTTGTTCTCTTCTCCCATCCTCCCTTCCTCCCCTGGCTGCTGATAAATCCAGACTGCAGTGATCCTCCATCACATACCCATACATTGAGCACATCTCTCATACTGAACCAGGCTTAGAGAAAACGAATCAATAAGTTGACAGGGAAGAAGTCAATGGGTAGAGTTAAGGCAGGCTGTCAACAAGTGTTAGGTGTGTACTTTGATGGAGCCAAGGAGACCTATAGAGAGTTGGAAATGAGGTACTTCATCACATATTCCTAGAGGCAGAAAATGAGAGAAAACAAGCAGTTCTCAAGGCAGCTCATTTATCTTGCTTCTATTGCGTTATTCAGAATGCTCTGGCCAAGGGTAGGCATCCTAACGAGAGTGCAAAACAAGCACCTGAAGCTATGAGCTTACACAGATTTATAGCCCCTGGGTAAAAGATGGAGAAGTAGTCCAGCTATGCTTTCTGTGAAGCTCACATTCATATCTTTGCAAACTTTTAGAAGCACATTTCCAAGTCTACAAGAATGCTTTTAAAACCTTCCTTCCTTCCTTTCTTTTCTCTTTCCCCTTCCCTCCTTCATTCCCTTCCTCCCTTTCTTCCTCATCCCCTCCTTTTCATCCATTAATTCATTTATTCATTCATTCATTTGGCATATATCTGTTGAGTGTATAATATATGGCGAATTTAGTCTAACTTCTAGGAATACACCTGTGAGCAAAAGATATACCCTGACTCTTGTAAAGCTTACATTTCAGTAAAATATATAAAGGAAGATGCAAAATAAATGAATAAATAATACAGCAATCTAGAAAGTAAAAATAGCAGTGGAATTAAATAATATATGCCTTAATATTCTTTTTCTGAAGACATAATTCATGGCTGTCAAGGAGACAGGCTCCCCATGAAGGTGATTCTTCATTTGAAGTGTGGTATTAGAACCAGTGTGCAGGTATATCAGCAAGCTATTGCTGTGCAACCAGCAGCCATGCCCACACTCACTGGCTTACACTTTAGCCATTTATTGATCATGAATGAGCATGTAAGTTGACTGAGGACCGAATGGTTTAGGTGTATGCAAGTGTCAGGTTCTATTGTGCTTGCTCCATTTGGCTCTCATCCTCCTGAACAAGAGGTCCCCCTGAGGCATGTTCTCATCATGTATTAATTCTTTTCCAGAGTCAGGGTCCACTAATATCTTATTAAACAAAGGAAGTCACTTTTTGTCAACCAAAATTCTGAGGTGGAAATACTGCCTACCAGGGAGCTCTGACCAATGTATGGATTTACAAATGATGGCAACCTGAGGCCAGTAATTCACCCTATCATGGGAGGTGGGTTTAATTGTACCCCAGCACAAGGGGCTTGCATCTTGATGCAGGCAAAAGGAAAAGCATGCCAAGAACTTGCAGTGTACAGAAAGATGCATTGCCTGTTACAGCTTCGCAGGACAGGGGTTATTTCTGAAGCAATGCTGGGGAGCTAATGCATATCTATAAAGAAGAGAATTTGGAGGGTGGGCTGCTGAGGAACACATACCTGTGCATGCTCAACCTGTGGTCATATGTAAGGATGAAATATGGCAAACACATTTTGGAAAACGCTTAGCTCAAGATCATGTGTAGAATTTAGATGTGTTTATTACAAACTGAAGTGGGAGTTCTCAAGAGTGAGAGGTGCAATGGCTAGAGATTGTTGTGCCAACCGTCGTGATTAAGCAGGCTCCATAACTGTTTTCTAAGCTCTATAGAATGTACAACTTCCTGAGAGAGCGTTTCTTGTCCAGGTGATTAATAGGACCATTTGGATTAACTTTAAAGAGGGAGGGACAGTTGTCTTTGTTTTTATTAGAAAGCCTATGGGTAGACAAAATCTTACGGGTTTTTAAGGATTGTTTAGAATGCTGTGTCTCCATCCAGAGTCAGAGATATGACTCATGTTCCATTAATTTTTTAAACTAATTAATTAATTAATTATTTTTTAAAAAACTTATCTTTTCTCATTTTATACACCAGAAAAATTTCAAGAGCCCAGAGTTTGATTCAAGGCTCACAGGCTCAAACTAAAAGCAGAATGTACTGTGGGTGTGAAATAGGACATGAAGGCAGAAAAGCAAAGAATTGGGCCCATGCTCATATGTCTTCCTTTCCTCCACAGAAAACAATCAGCCTGGTACTTTTATTTCCCCTAGACCAAGTGTGAATGAGCTACATCATGAGGAAGGGCTATAACCAAGAGGCTTTGTTTGTCATAGCCAGAACCTGGGAACAACCTGAATGCCCCTCGACCAAAGAATGGATAAGAAAAATGTGGTACATTTATACATTGGAGTACTACACAGCAGAAAAAAAATAATGACAGCTTGAATTTTACAGGAAAATGGATGGAGCTAGAAAACATTATTTTGAGTGAGGTAACCCAGATACAGAAAGACAGTTATCACATGTGCTCATTCATAGGTGGTTTTTAAACATAAAGCAAGGAAAGCCAGCCTACAAAACCACAATCCCAGAGAATTTAGACAACAATGTGGATACAAACTGAGACTTAAATAGATATAAATAGACTTAAATAGATACTTCTACATGGGAAGTATAAAGTAGAAAAAGACAAGATCGCCTGAGTAAATTGGGAGCATGGGGATCTTGGGGAGAATTGAAGGCAGGGAGCAGAACAGAGAAAAATGTAGAGCTCAATAAATATCAATAAAAAAAGAAAGAAAGAAAAAAAAAGGAAAGAAAAGAACTGGGGAGATGGCTCATCAGGTAAAGGTGCTTAATGCCGAGCCTGATAATCTGGGTTCAATGTTCAGATCTCCATGATAAAACAAAAGAACCAATACCTGAAAACTGTCCTTTGACCTTCCCCAGTGTTCCATAGCTCATGCATGGGTGCACATAAGTAAATAAGAAAAATACAATTTTCATTTAAAAAGAAAAAGAAAAAAATAGCTGCAAAAAGAGAAAACAGCTTCTAAAAAGTCCTATAAAGGGGAAGAGAGTATGGTCTTCTTATTTTATCTCCTTTTTCTGACCAGTTAGTTCCTCTGTGTTTGTCAAATAATACAGTGTTGAAGCATTGTCTGAGGTAGGAGAATCAACACTGCGGAGTGCAGGTCCTTGTGGCTGAGCCTCTCTTCTTCCTTGTGTATCTTGTGTCAGTGTGGTATGGCGCCCAGTTCAGTGTCATGCGTTGTAATTTGCAAGCTTCGCTTTCTGTTGCTTTCCCGCAGATTATGTTACTCACGGACCCGGAGATTGAGAGCAGTTTATTGATCAGCTCAGATGAAGGGGCAACCTATCAAAAATACCGGCTGAACTTTTACATCCAGAGTTTGCTCTTCCATCCGAAGCAGGAAGACTGGATCCTGGCATACAGTCAAGACCAAAAGGTGAGCACACTTGCCATGCTTCACACAGCGGTGCACACCTGTCCCGGAAAAGGCCACTGGTTACCCATCTGGAACTATCATCTCACTGATAATTTCTTTTTCCTTTTCTCTTCTGTGCAGTAGCCTGAACTCTGTGCACGAGAACATCTCAGGTTGCTTGTCACAACTATGCAAATATATGAAAAAATATACAAAAGAAAGTTAAGATATCAAGTGAAATCTTGTAGAGAAACAGTATAAAGCTTGGATGCCATGTTAGCCACCTTTCCATCAAATATCTGAACTAATTCACCTAAAATATGAAAATATGCATTTTAGTTCATAGCACTGAAGATTCCAGTTCCTAAGTGAGTGATCTTCACTTTGGGTCTCTAGAAAATCGGTCCATCATAGTAGGGGCATAGGCCAAACTCTGCTATCCCCTGTCAACTAGGGCAAAAACATAAGACTTGGGTAGTCCAGAATACCACAGATTCTTTGGGAAGTAACCTAAGGGCACCTTGGTGAACCTCACATGCCAAAGTTCCACAAAACCAAGAGAGAAAAGTTTTAGCACAACTTGGTCAACCTTCAGCACTGTAACAGATGCTGAAGGACTTAGGAGGCACCAATTTTCATGGAATTTGAGGATGTTTTGTGAGTTTAAATCAATGATCATATTCTTAGTTCAAGACCTATTGCTTTACCCACAACCTCAAAAAGCAGCTACTTTACTAAGGCTTCAGAATACCATTAGGTGACTTTTAAAAAGTGAGAAAGATGTTGAGAGGTCAGTATCCTCTTTAGGCTTTTATCTTACAGATTTCCTTCACTTGGTAGCAACACGGAAGAAGTCCACTTCTTCTAAATCATTAGATGAAGTTGGACTACACATGTATTCAGTTGCGTTTGTATGCCCCATAAATATTGTACTACATCTATTATCTATTGTATGTATGTACTATATCAATACATGCTTTTTTTGTCTTTAAAATACTTAAACAGCTGCATAGAGTATAAGGCTACCAAATTGACAAGTAAACTTGTAATGGAAAAGGTAATTATTCATGTAGGTAAACATGAGATAAACTTGAGTCATAAAAATTCAAATGAAAACAGGTGAGATACTGGCATTCTTTTTATGTAATCTATTATTCCACAAAATCATCTGAAAATTCTTTTGAGAGGCATCATAGCTTACATATTACATGTTCTTAAAGAAATATTGGGTTTCCTTTAGTTGGAGGAGATACTAAATGTGTTGGATAGATTTATTGTCAACACAAGCTAGAGTCACCTAGAAAGAAGGAACCTCACTTGAGGGATTGTTAAGATTATATTGTCCTGTATCTGTATCTGTAAGAGAGTGTCTTGATTGTTTATTGATATGGGTGTGCCAATTCCACCATGCACAGTCTCTTCTCTGAGAAGGGTAAGCCTGATCTCTATAAGATATTTAGCTAAGCATGATCCAGTGAGTGAGCCAAAATGTAAGCCAGAAGGCATTTCTCCCTATAGATCCTAGCTTGACTTCCTTCAAGGATGAATTGTGACCCGAAAATGTAAGCCAAATACATTCATTCTTCCTGAAGTTATATTTTTGACAGAAAGAAAACTGGAACACAGGTGTTTTCTTTGTTTGGGCTGGTCTCAATATTTGGGGTTCTCCCTAAAGGCAAAGAAAGGTTGTAAGCAATTTCCCAAGGTCTCTAGTGATATGGGCATTTTGAAGCAAGCAAACTAGCATCACAGAATTGGAGTTGTATTCATACTGCCCTACTACCAAATAAAACTCACATTAAGCCTAAAAACAGGAAAGGTTTACCATTAGTCTTTTTTCTTCTTAACTAACCTGGATACACTTTCACACAACGTTCAATTTTGCGCCTGGAGTTGAGCCGCCATGTGTTTGGTGTAATTATCATGTGAAGACTGAGCTGGGGTGTCTGCCATTTAATCTACTGTTATCGTATTTTATTCAGCTCTAAGTTAAGTTAATTTTACCCCATGATGCCTGAGGCATAGTGCAGGGCAGATTCACTTGGATAAGTGAAAATTAACACCTTTGCAATTATGCTAGAGGAGATGCCCTGAAATGTAGCCCCTGAGGACCCAGTACTTCATGCTTTCTATAATCACTCTGAACAAGTAGATAGCCCCAGAGGAATGAGGACACCTAGGCAGAGGTCCCAACTCAGCCACTTATAGTGAGCAATATTTGCTGCTCTTTTGAAATAAAGCATTTTCTTAAATACGTTTGTATAGCTAGTTATGTTTTTTGCAGGTCCACATTCCATGTGACGGAAAATAGTATTAGACTCTTCATCTTTTTTTTGGTTGAAGTGTTGACTTACAGAAAATGACATCAAGCTTTAATTCATACAGACTTAGAAGATTTATAGATATGACTTAATCTAACATTCTCTAAAAAGTCAGGGAACCAACTGATGCACAACCATAGTGGCTACAAAAATTATATGAACTTAATAACCAAAGTTCAGATGATAAAGGTTTGGTGACCTTTTGGCTTATAACCTCTAGAGGCTATAAGAAATTACTCCAGTAGAGCAAAAATATGACAAACCTGTTGATAAGGAGCACACTTTTTCTTCTTAAATAGAGGAAGAAGAAATTCACAAATAAATAATTTTATAAAGTTGGAAAAGTAGTATTTACAGAGTAGAATTTCCATCAAAAAATAGAACATTGGCAAAGCTCACTATAATACACTAGACTTGTGGAAGGTGATCCTAATGTTCATGGTTTGGTCTAATGGTAAATGTGGCTGTTTGTCTCCCTAGTTTAAAGCCTTTGAAAAGTTGGGTCAGGGCTGATATATTCTGAACTATGGATTCTAGGGTTAAACATAGAAATGTAAGGATGAGTTAAGATTATGTGAGGGTCTAGACCAAAGGTTTATGAGGATAGGCTTGATGAATCCTTTGCTTTCAGAGCTTAAAGAATCCTGATCAATCTTTATTCTATATAATGTGAGAAATTCAAAATCAGATGATCCAACAAATGGTATCATAAGAAAATTTCAGTTGATTTCATGTGTGGATGTTGTAGAAACAATAGAAAAAAAAACCTTTGCATGAAATTTTGATAGTGATATTTTGAAGTGAACATGTGAACAGAAATAGTCTTCCTACTTTTGTCTCTGGTTTTGCAAGAGAAAGTCAAGGATCAATCAGTTATGTGGTGGGACTAGACAATCTGCTGATGTGTGTAGAGTACTGGAAAGATGTCAGTGTCTCAGGACTTACATCAAGGTGTGAGGAGCATGGCATTATCTGGACGGAAAGTGATCTGGCACCATCTGAAAACTCAATGGTACTCTTGGGAGTTAAGTGAAGAGGGCCTGTGACCCACCAGGTGGGGTCAGTGATGCTGGTATCAGAGTTCTGGCAATCACTTACAAACCATGGAATTTTTAGAACTTATAAGATGCAGCTCTGGGTACCAAGGAGATCTTCCTGTTGGCATTGGTTGGCCAGCATCTGTGAATTTTAGGAAAGAGGAACATTTATTCTTGTGTATAAGTATTGTTCATCAGTTTTTCTCTGTGACAGCTGCTAGTACTGCTGTTGCCAAGCTCTCAGCTAAGATCTTAGCCCCAGAGCAAGCTTTCCATCTGCTGGATGCAGTTTCATGTCAAATTCAAGCAAACATAAAGGAACTGAGTCCTATAAAACACCGTGGTGAGGGGCTGGCACCCATACAGCTTGTTTAAGAGCACTGTCCTTGCCCCTCCCTCTTCCCTTACTTCCTATCTTCTTTGTACTTTGGGGCATACTTTTCTTCTAAATGTACAGAGATTTTGTTTTTCTCGTTTCTATGACATTGATTGTTTTCTGTCCTTCAAGAAATGAGACTTTTAAGACCCTGAGAGGAGGATTAGGTGCTGTGGTCTGAAGAATGCCCAAGAGGTCTGAGATGCCCTTTTGTGCATCGTACTGAGTGCACAAACACCGTGTGGAGGCTTTTGATGTGAGCGTTAGACCGCCCTCAAAGACTTCTGTTGACCATATTGTTATTTTCTTTCTGGAACACGATAGAGATTTACTGGCCACCAGTTCAATGGAAATTTCAAACGAATAGCTGCTATTTAACCTTGGAGCATTTTTATGCCCAAATGTCCTCCTCAGAATTAAGAGGATTATACTATTTTCATAGCTTAGGATATTTCTTTTACTTAGATGGTGAAATATATTGAGGATATCAAGTATTTCAGTGGTTGTATAGTAGATGTTTTCAAAAATAAACTGATTGGAGAAAAAGAAAATTATGATTATGAATGGGATTTTATAAGGATTTTCCTGCTCTATTTCCTGTGTTCACAACATACAGAGGGGAATCCCACGTCATGAGGGAACCAAATACATAGGGGTCCAGTCACCCTGAATTCATATTTGCCTACCGATATTTAGTTTGGCTTGACACAGGAGATTTAGGGCAAGAGGTAGGAATATGCAGATTTAAGCATAGTCAAAGTGTGCACTGTTTGATCACTAACTCAGTTCTGATTCAGCAAGATAGTCGCAAAATGCCCTAATTATTGTTGTCACAAGAGATCACTATGGCTCTCAGGATGTCACTTCTGATTTGTGTTGTAACCTCATCATAATGGATAATAAATGCCAGAGAGGAAGCTGCCTGTCCCTCCTCATTCTGCTGTTCCCAGACTCCAAAGCGACTGCAGGTTTTAGGGTGGTGATTTACCTGCACCTTCATCCTTGAAGGAACATAAGATAATTAGACAACCACTCCTTGAGGGATTAACATGAATGTGTGCAAAGTTAACAGATTATCCACACTAGAATAGAGACACAGAATGAAGGCAAGATGTCAGCGTACTCTTGTTTTGGTTAGTCTATAGGACAAAGTGAAAAATCAATGTTTTGGTTATAATTGTACTAAATTTATTTACATATATATATATATATGTATATATATATACATATATATATGTGTGTGTGTGTGTGTGCGTGTGTGTGTGTGTGTGTACCTGTGTATATGTG